AAATAGTTTATATTTTTTTTTTTTTTTTTTTTTTTTTTTTTATATATAGAAGAAGCATTAGTAATTTTTTTTTCAAACTTATTTGGAACATTTATATATATAAGTGTTATAAAAATGATTAATAGAAATAATGTGGATTTTCATTTAAGTAATATAATTGTTGAATATATTCAGAAAAAAAAAATTCATAAAAATAGATCTTTTTTAACTGCTTTTGTATATCCGAAGATTCCGTATTTTTTAAAAAAAATAATTATGAAAATTTTAATTTTTTCATGTCCTTATAGTCATATTGGAAATAAATATATTGATAGAGTTTTTATGAATAATGTTGAATTATATTCATCAATTATAATGGATTTTTACTTAAATGAATTTATTTGTTCTTTTTTAAGTTACGTTTTATTATATATTTATTTATTTACAAAAGACAATTTATCTTATCCTATTCAAATTAATTTAATTTTTACTCAATTAATTTTTTTATTTTCAAATGATAGTAGTCATCTTATTGGAGGACCTTTTATGAGTTTAAGTTGGATAATTAATGATTGTATACAAAAAAAATTTAAATTTCTTTTTTTATTTTTTTTAATTGTTTTTCATTATTTTGGTTATAAATTAGCTATTTTAATTCTAAAAAAACCTCACTTATCATTATTAGATGCAACCAACTATTATCAAAATATTGATCAAGATATATTACAAGATAATTTAACTGAATACGGAAAAGTAGATATCTCCTTAATAATAAATGAACACATTAAGGATAGTAATGTAGTAGATTCTTATTTGGGTAGATTTTTTCAAAAAGTTCTTAATTTATATTTATTCAAAATATCAAATAAAAAAAAAAATATCTAAAATGATATTAAAAAAAAAATTAATAAGTGTATATCATAAATTTTATTACATATAGAAAAATTATCTATAAGAAAAAATTTTTTGTCAAACTTAAAAATATTATCATTTCTTTATACATACATATATATATATTGAATAATTTTTTATTTATATATATATATATATTTTTTTTTTTTTTTTTTCTTATATAAATTAAAACTATTTAACAAACTTTTTATTGATTATATTTTTTTTTATTACTTTTTTACACTTAACTATTATAATTTTTAAAACAGATGTATATTCTTTATATCTATCTATTTACTTATATATATAAGTAATTTTATAATTTCCTAAATTTTAAACATAAACAATTTTAATAATTTCCTAAATTTTAAAAATAAACAATTTTAATAATTTTAATTACATGCCTATACTTATACATTTAATTTATTTTTTAATAAAGTTAATAAAAGAAAAAAAAAAAAAAAAAATAAATATAAAAAAATAAATGAAAACTGTTTTTCTAATTAACAAGAGTATTTTTATTGCTATTTATTCAGAAAAAAGGAAAATAAAATTATATATATAGGTGGGTATAACGTATTTCTAATTTCGCTTAGTAATTTTTATATTTTTTTTTTTTTTTCTTAATTTACAACTATGTAAACATTTTGTAAAATTATTTGAATTAAGAAAAACATCTTAAAAAAAAAGCATAATAAGAAATAAAAAAAAGAGAAAATGTTTATCTTTTAAAATTAAAATTAGTATAAAAAAAAAAACTAAATTTTTTCTATTTTTGTGTCCTATATGTTGATCCTTATATAATGCATTTCTAAGTTTAAAAAAAAAAAAAAAAAAAAAAAAAAAAAAAATAAAATTATATGAAATTAAATCAAATTTAAAAAGAAGAAAAAAAAAAAAAAAAAATGATATTAAAATAAATTTATTTTTCTTAAATATGAATTAAATTATTATTGATTTGTTTATTTTAAAGAAATCCTTTTTATTTTTTTTTTTTTTTTTTGGTTAATAAAAATGAAAAATAAAAATAAATATGATTATCTATTAAAATTACTACTAGTAGGTGATTCCAGTGTAGGTAATTTGTTTACTATTTTTATATCTACTTTTTTTGTAATTTTATCATATATATATATATACATCTTTTTTCATATTATTTTATTTTTTTATTAATTTATAATATATTATTTATTATTTTATAATTTTTTTTATGTTATATTTTTTATTAAAGGAAAAAGTAGTATATTATGCAGATATTCCGATAATCAATTTGAGGAAAAAGTTTTATCAACAATAGGTTATTATAAAAAACAAAAAAAAATAGAGAATATATAAATTATTATATATATATATCTATTACTTATTTACTTTTTTTAGGTATTGATTTTAAGGTAAAATATTTAAGAATAGATAATAAGACAATAAAAGTGGGTATTTGGGATACAGCTGGTCAAGAGAGATTTCGGACTTTAACTTCAGCTTATTATCGAAATGCGCATGCTATTATTCTTGTATAGTATACAAAAAAAAAAAAAAAAAAAAAAA